GGAAACGGTTTGATCAGCGAGAGTACTTCCTGCTCGGCAAGGTCTCTCAGGATTGTCAACGACAACTATCTGCTTTCCCACATGAACTCCACATCGACGACCGTGCTGTTCAGAGTCTTCTGGAAAGCTTTCCCGGCCGAGCATACAGCCGCTATATACTCATCATTCTCGAGAAGGTGGTGGAATTTGCGGAGGTCATTGTCGTCTAAGTCAAGAAATTGGCTAGGAGATATTGAAAGGGTTGCTGGGCTCTAAAAAGATAAAGCACAATAGACCTTCGTAGCCACCACAAAGACGCTTCCATTTTCTCCCTATCGTCAGATGGGAGTTGAGCACCGATCTTGTCCAGCCCGTTTTCTTCAGCACTTTTTGGATGACCAATGGGTCTGTCCTTAATCTGCCATCATTCACGTTTGCTATGTCCTCGGCCAGCATAACTTGATGGATGCGCACCATAAATTCTGCGAGAAGGGACCTCCGCCCGGAGGTAACAATGCCTTGGACGCGTTGGACCAGGCGCGTGCATAGATCTCCATGGTCAACCACTCGTATGACACTGGTGTCTCGATCCCTTGCGCCGCCAACAAGACCCTGGAATTGGAAGAATGCAGCACGGCTAGAAATCGCCATCACGAGTTTCAGGACCTGGGGGCTCACGCCAAGTTGAGAGTGAAGGGAAGGAGAAGTTCGCAAAGGTTTTTCCATCTTCTCCATTTCAATGATGACCTCTTGTAGCCCTTGAGAAACCGATCGTTGAGAGCCAATGATCCTTTTCTTTTCGAGGAGCCGCGAATGGTCCACCGTGGATTTTCGCTTCGTCAACAAGCTTGTTGTTTTTCTTGCCGATGGAGCCGTGCTCCTGACGCTTGAGCCGATGCCGGGCCGCAGGTGGCCAGCGCTGGTGGCTCTTACAGTCGCCCCTTTGCAACCATGGAGAGGTGTTTCTCTGAGGACGACGTTAGAAGCGGTCGTGTTAGGTTCGATCTGGTTATCTTGCTGGCGGTCTTGAGCCTGGAGGGGATCCGAGAGGCTGCTTAGAGGCTCGCATCCTTGCTCGTATTGCGGTTCGTCGGCTTGACGGAGTTCCAATAGACGGTTGAGAATTGGATATCCAGGACATTGACTATTGCAGTCTATGGAACCGCTGGTAGTCCACCCTGTGGCCCCATAATTCACTGCCTCAGCACTCGTGATATCACAGGTCCCTCCCTCGTGGTATGCATCGCCAAAGACACCGATAACTTCTCGTGGTCCTTGTATAAATGTAACGAAGGAGGCGCCCAGTGCTTTGAGCGCGGATCGGGGAATATACTAAGCAGCGTGCCTAATATTCTGCGAATATTTCCAGCGTTTGACCTCATTTTCGATGAGGTGGCTATCTCCTGGCGCTATAACCTGCCATAGCTTACGACCGTAGTACAAGCAATTGAGTGATATGAGGTTTTTGTACTCCTCGTGCAGGGAATGCACGGATCCGTGCATGCCCGACTGATATGCAAACGGCCAATGGAGCCCCGGAATGCTGCACTTAGTGCGGCGCAACTCATTGCCCTTCAAAGGCCAGATGGGCGACTGGGCAGGCAAGCCTAGCTTGAGTCGATCCTCAATAGCTCGTGCCGGCATATCTGTGCAGTATTGCATCTTCGCAATGGCCGCAGGATCTGTAAGACGTTGCTCTAGTATGTCTGCCAATTCACCGGGTGCGACAGGTTCGTCTGTACGATCTAGAGGATCTCTCATCTCGAGTATCTCCGTATGCTCCGTACGGGATATGTGCAGAGATCCGTTGGGCGCGAGAGAAGATCCAAATTTTGACACTTGTGTTGCTCCATTACTCGTAGCTTGTATGTCCAGTTCAAGATCTTCCGGCAGCACATACTTGAACACTCCAGTCTTGCGTGCACTGAGACTTTCAGCCTGGGAGCGAAGTAGTGCTATATCGCGATATTGAGACTTGGAAGGCATGAGGACTATTATGCCATGTTCAAGCCGATGTGGAATACCATCGGAAGTGAGTGATCCGAGTTTCGCAGGAGTGCAGAGTGAAGGTACATTTCTCGTAGAGTCAATGCAACCGCCTGGATTCTCTTCCTGGTTCCTAAGGACTCTGGTTAGACTGGGAGAAGAAACTATCACATTTCGAGAAATCTCCCGCAACGTCTTAATTCGCTGTTCGTATCGCTTCGCCATGGTATGGGATGCCTGTTGGACACATGATTGGGGCACCGTAGCAGCGCATTGAGTGTCAGGTCCTTCAGTCCGTTTCAGGCTTCTGTGAAACCTGGAATCTCTCTCGATTTGTTCTCTGATCCCCTGGATGTCTTTCGAATAACGAGGTATCACGTCTCGCAAGGTAGGTGCCCACTTCGGCTCTCCATGTTGTGCTTGGTCTTCTGGGCTATAAGTCGAGGCAGCGATACGGGTGTTGAGTGATGTTAGGATCTCATCGAGAACCTGTTCAACGCCGGCAAGTTTTGCCACAAGATCGAACATTGAGCGAAACCTCCAGGTTTAGCTACAGCAACGTGGAAGGGTAAGATGAGAGATAGGAGAGTTCATTTTACCATTGGCACCAAGTCACTAAGTATCTTCCACATGCCACGAAGTCCGCGAACTTTATAGGATGTTGCAGCATGTAATGTGCGGCGCCAGATGAAACTTTAGAGTGGCCAGAGACCGATTCGCCCTTGCCGCTGAAAAGGATCATTCAGAGGCCAATGAAATCAGGCCCTTAAACTATGAGCCGCCGCCCGAGGCTATCGTCAATGCTTGACCATCCTATTGGAACCTCTGGCTAAACACTTTCGTCTCTCCGTCCCAAGTCCTCCTCAACATCCAAACTATCCCCCTTCTCCGAGTGCGTTCTCCGGACCCAAGTAACATGAGTGCTTGCACCCCATCGATCTTCACTTACAGGATAAAGATTACTTGCCATCTACGCCCTACCTGGCTCGGTGCGGCCCTCGCCGTTCTGGGGATCGGCTTGGAAGTAAGTACAGACAGAGATGCTTTGCGGCACGATATGACAGCACTGGTGGCTGCACCGGTGCAGCTGTGGGCGTGATGATTCGTCCTTTGATACATGCACGTCGATATCCCCGTCCGAGTATGTTGGAATGCTAGCAGAGCAGGTGTTGCTGTCTCTAGAAGGTCGAACCAATGTGTACCCGTTTTCGATGCAAAGAGCTATTGGCCTTTGGAGGCGCCGATTCTCTGTAATTATGAACATGGATCCTAAATACCGCAGCTCATGACTTTAAAACCTAGGGATAGGTTCAAAATATCGATCAATGATATATGCAGAGAGTACGAGGTGAACAAGGTCAAAGGACTTGTGGCTCATTTCACCATGAGGGGCGTTTGATCAAGCTAGACATCGATTACTGATGTGGTAATGTCGGTCTACCCGATATTTGTGCAATGATATTTTATCTCTATCTTCCATAGAAGCCAGTGGAGAATTGTTGCAATCTGCAGAGGGATGATCCCTTCTTCACCCTCTTTGGACAATTGAGCCTCGCAGGCCTGCAGGCACTCCACATACTCCTGGCCGATCCTGCCACAAAAGCTGTAAGAGGACAACAGGTCAGGATTGGCAGGAGCACAGCGGGGGTGGGGTAAGTATAGACGCAATGCCGCCAGAAGTCGACTTCTCGCTCTACCAGCGACTGGATTCAAGCCTTCCGTCGTGACCTAGCTCGGCCTTGGAACTTGTGGAATGCCATCCGCTGGAGTAGATCGTTACGTTCGGCTACAGATCGACCGTCGTCCTCAAAAAGTGAGTCGAGTTCGGAGGTCGAGTCCGTGGCAACCTCATCGCCGCGGACCGACTCCACGGACTTGGATGTCACCGAATCGCTCGACACTTTGGCGCACTCGGACCCAGGCTCCATTGTCGAGGTGTCCTCAGCAAGAGTGACGGTCGTGGTGTATGGTGGTGGCTAGGGCAGTATAGTGGGATGGCGGTCGAGCAACCGTTGTTTATGAGGGCTGGGAAGGGATGGAGAAGGGTGTCGAGTTAACCCTCGCATGGGCGCGACCATCGTGGCTCGCGAATACTTGGTATGTCTGGTTGCGATGTGGTGATCTTGCTGTACAGCACAGGCAGAGGCCGCAGGGTGGAATGGGAAGGTGGAAGTTGCTGACGAGGACGAGAATCCAGGGTGCAGGGAGGGGGAAGGGAAGGGGGAAGGAGAGGACGCAGGTCGGGCAGGGGTCGGTCGGACTGTGGCTGATGTGTCAAGCCACAGGTGGAGGAGACTCGCAAAGCGGCAGTCGACGTCGCCCGAAAAGCAAGTCCTTTGCACCACCAACTGTATTCCACGAGGTATTCCACGAGGGATATCGGACAGAGACCTCATTAATAAGTGGCTTTCTATCTTGCTCTCATCTTCGATGTGAGCGTTAAATGCTCCCACTTAGCGAACGCAGAATTGAACGGCAACACAGTCGTGTACTATGCCCCTATTCCAGTGGGCTTAAAGTGAGCCAAGAATTCTGGGGTCAGTTCAGCTTGCTACTTTCTCCACCAGGTAATTGTCAAGAATCCATCTTGAAGGGCTCTATTTGTCACAAGTAATTCTCACCTCGTATTTCACATTCCATCTGCAACTTCCACGCTCTGTTCACTGAACATTGAGGGGCTACCGTTGCAACAATGGACAACAAAAAGCCTCGCAAATATGGCCTAGTAAGCTCATTTCTGCCACGTCCACCATGGATCAATCTATCAATGCGTGGCAGCTTTCGTCCATTCCAGGATACACCAACATATCAAACAGCAAGCTTTCAGACATCTCCATGTTTGAAGCGGAGAATTTGGATTCGCATCCATGCTCCTCCGCCCTGCTGCAGGTGATGATCCCGCGGTATGTCCAGCCTCACGAGACATACATATCATCCTCCCAACCGAATCCGTCGACACATAGCAGCCAGCCGTCGTTGGACTCGCTGTTGAGTTCCGTGTCACCCGGTCATCAAAAATACCTGCATCGATTGTCTTTGGCAGTGTCTGATCTGAACAGTGACACATACTGGCCCCGGAATACACCGGTCCGGCGGCAGAAGACCACCACGAGCCGGATCACGCCCTCGATCAAAGAAGCATGCCAGAGAACTCGAGCTTAGTCGGAGAGCGGCGACCAAATGTCGCAACTCACGCGGAAGCAAATGGTGAACCCCCGCGTTGCCCCCGCCAAGGAATGAGAGTTGCGTCATCGTTAGGCACATGATCCGCTGTTGCTGCTTGGCTAGCTAGGCGCTATCCACGATAGCACGAATTCTATTTGGTACCCAACGTTCATTTTCGCCACACTAAATGAGGCTGAGGGAGGGGTTTGTGGGAGAATCGGTTGTCAAGAGCAGTACACTGAAGGACACGGTCCCACGGACGCAATCCCACGAACACCACCATTGCGATCTGATTACTCAACGCTCCCTTTTATTTGCCGCTACGATGCCTGCGGTACACTCGTATCACACCGAAACGTGGCCAGATTGCTGGTAATGCAGAAGAGCTGGACGCGAGCACAACCACTTCGACGTCGAGATCCGAATGGGATAACCCTCAGCAGGACTGCTGCAACTCCACAAAACTTTGCACGTGGTGGTTGGATGTTGTTTTCTCATATTTGATCCCTCGATAATCATTGGACGTCTCTGAGCACGAAGCAGCCACTATGAACCCTCTAGGCTTTGCATTCTTCAACCAAGGCTATTAATATATCACGGAGCTTTCGGGGTTTTACATGCTTTAACATCCCAACCGTTATGTCGTACACGTTTTGCGCGTTTTCAAGCTTTTATCGTATGGTTTTTTCGACCACCAGACTGGCAATTTCGGCAGCTCCAGCACCGCTTGTAAAACTGCGGACGAATTCCGTAAGCAGTTCCCAGGGAGCGCTTCTGAACACTTGCGAAGGTACCAACGCTCCATGTCTGCAGACCACGGATATATACGGTCATCCTATCTTGATCCCCTCAATGCCTCTCAAACACTATTACCTGGTGATTGTCTCTCTAATGCCTTCTTAGTACCCAAAGGCTAGCCCGGTGGTGTATATTCCTATAATTACAGCGAGCCGTGGTCCATGCGTCAGAGTCACAGACCTGCGGGATGCTCTGCTAGTTTTTCTGGGAGGTACATCGCATAGGATAGGGAGGAGCTGGAACAATGCTGCTTGACAGTCGAGTGGCTTTATTTCAGCTGATCGACAGTGTATCGGTACATGATACTATTAAGGGCGTAAGCGTTGACACAACGAGACAAAGAGGAAGAGGAATAGGAAGATAAAGAGGCTACAAAAATATGAAGTGTACTGAGCATAAGCCGTAACTGGTATGTATAGCCGGCTTGGAATTCTGGGAACGGTTGCCGATACTACGGATATAATCGAAAAGAGTCGTGTACAGGCGTCGACGTTGAAATGATTTATAGCCAATCATGCATCCTTTGTGAAATTTCCACCAATTTCCCTTCCACACCTATCTGCACGACTCAAAAGATGAATCCCAATAGAGATGTAGCTGACCCAGTAAAGGAATCATTGCATTTACATGACCCAGCAACTCATGGATACTACTTCCAGGAGGAATAAATTGGTGGCCATTGGCAGCCCAAGCGCCGGAAAAAATAATCCGGCAGCCAATGGCTGAAGAAATTTTGGGGGCCATCTGCGTTTCTGGCAGCCAAGTGTTTCGGACACCCACTCAAACTGGGTCTCTGGTCACCCACTCACGGCCCGGTGATCACACTAGCCTAGTCTCTGCTTGGACCTCTTCACTCTCCACCAGTTGAATTGAGATATGAGGTCTCCAGGAAGCTTGATAGAATGGTGGTAGAGCGGCAGAGTGACAATGTCACTATCCGAACAGCAAAGTGAGTGCATCATGCCCCATTGCCTTGGGCTCGATGACTCGTCATCGGGTAAGTTCACATGCGTGTGGCTTTCTTGTCGGCTTTTAATGTTTCAGGGCCTTCAGATTCAGCGAGAAGGATTGACGAAGTTTTTTGTGCAAGAAATCAGCAGAGTGCCACTGCCAGTTCTAGTCTTCTGGGAGGTTGGAGTGTCCGGAAACCTTTTCCATCCCTGCTCGGTTAAAAGCTACGTTCCGTTGTGACACCCTTCCACCTTCCTCTCAACCATGTCAACAATGCAGGATATCCCCTGTAATATTCAGTTACCTGGCGCAACTGCTTGTCCATCCTCATTTCACGTCGTCAGCACGCTAGAACAATTCGCTCCCAAATTATCCGACCATCACTCTTCCATTCCAAATCACGCTACACTTTTTTTTCCATACCTATTAACAACCGCATTATTAGCATCTCAATGTTAATTTCTCGGTCGTGGAGCGCATGGGGACGCCGCACCATGTCGTGGTCGTTGTTCTTGGCTGCTGATGTGATATGAAGACAGTTTCGAGACCTCACATGACGGCTGACGCCTGCCAAGACTTGACCAAATTTCAGATCCTGTACACCGGATCGATTGGATTCCCATTCTATGTGATCGATCGAGTGGTGCGGAAACCTTCTCCGCGCCACTGGGTCAAAAAATATTCAATTCCGTTACGCGATGCCTAACCCCTGGATAACTTTCCTGTTTTCGGTGTTGGGCTATAATGTTAATACTGCTCAAAGTGGTGACCAGGTAGAATGGTCCACTGATGTGTAACCTGAAATCACTGAAATCATAAGGCAGGCTCTTGTTTGGCCCAGCACTTTAACGTAAATTAGGTTTCGAGACAGACGTTGCTTTGGCCGGCCTGAGATGATACCCGTAACTGTGGACATAGCAAGCAGAACCTGGTAGTTTTTGCACCCACCCATAGTCTTTTCGGTCTTATTTCCATCCTAGCCTAGGAGAAACTTACGATGAGACTGCCATGTTAATTGAACTACATCCGCATCCCTCTGTTGCCTCACTTTCGCAGTATCGATAATATGTGGGATGGTCAATTGTCTAGCAGAGCTCTAGGTTATCGCCATAGCCCACTCATATATGGTTGTTTCGACTTGCCCCATGGCTCGGCCTCTAGCAGCATTGCCCATTCTTCATAAATCGCTCCCACTGTTACCTACTTCATCCGTTCCGACAAAGAAAATTACAACCGCGTGCGGTTCCTGCAAACAGCGGAAATCAAGAGTAGGATTCCGTCCTTATGATTGCAAGATATGACTGACACGATCAGTGCTCTGGTGACGCTCCTTGTAGGGCATGTGCAGAAAAAGGAACTCCCTGTGCATATAATCTAGAATTGGATCAACGTCGAAAATTCGCGGCCCAACAACTACGCCAAGAACTCATAGAAACACAGCTAAAGCTAGAAAGAAATAGTGAGCTTCTAGGAGGAATCATTGCTACCATCAAGGCTGGGACCTGGAGTGCTGTTGATGAACTCGTTCGTATAATACGCTCAGGGGTAGATATGTCACAAGCCGCCGCCTATGTTCGGAATGAACGTCGAGCCAGTGCTGTGGTCGAGAAGGCTTATGATGAGACTGACTTCACGATGGATGGCTCAGTAGAGTTGCCAAGCCCTCTTCAGATGCAGATTTTGACAAGGATTACTTCTCGCATCTCGGAAGGAGATGAAGCAGATGGTAGAATGGACAGCGGTGCTCATATATGATATATAATTTGGGAGTATTCTTCTCTGTCGTCTCTGGAGCAGGTCTTGTTTCGTTTCGTTTCGTGGACTCACTGGTTTTGCCAATGGCGAAAAGATCTCCGCTTTGCGCGATTGACCAGTTTGGTTCGAAACCAAAAGGAAAGACTAAGCTAAAGTCTAGCTATGTATCTGTCAGTGGAGGTTGGTGATTTAAGGATGTGGATTAGCATGTTCATTGGAGTTCGATCGTTCCGTCGTCCAGGCTTGATGGTGAGTCAAGGTCCAATCGCCGTTGGCCTCGTTGTATTCCATTGTTTAAACAATCTCCTCGTTGTTACCTCTTTCCCTTGCAATGTCATGGCTTCTAAGCACGCTTTCTGGACGCAGCATCCTTTGTCTTCGAGAGCAAAGTAAGGTACGAAGTGGAAGTCAAGACAACGTCCTGCCGCATTTCTCGCCTAAATGGCTTCCCACTTAGAGCAACTCCTTACCCAATTATAATGCAAGCTAGAATGGTCATTGCTTGTCGGTTCCACTCTGCTAGCGGTGAATAAGCTTTACGGATGGATATTTTATCCTACCGCCCACGCATTCATAGGGTAGCCGCCACCGATGCTGGTTGAGCAACAGCAGTATCACAGTGGTTCTGGTTTGTAGGGAAGCCAGCACCGAGCGGAGACATGGCGTCACTTTCCATCAGCAGGCTGCAGCCGATGGCAAACTCACCGCACCTACTAGTACGCTCAGTTCAACCAAGCCAAATATGGAACATGCTACGGCAAGCACGGGCTAGAACCTATCGACTTGCAAATATCTGGGCGAGGCAATCATAACTTCAGAAAGCAGAGCTTTAGGTCTATTTTAATCGCAAAACGATCTCCACGCTTCGGAGTGTCAGTGATTAAATACCGACTGGGAGTCTTGGTGCCTGGAACTCCGACTCTATACGTAGAAATCTGGCTGTCCTCTTCTACTAGAAAGCTTCAACCCCGTTCGCAGGGTTATGCTACCATTTACCTATCAAAGTTCCAGTGCGGGCCCTGCGAGTCAGAGGCATGACTGTTTGACTGTGGCCAGGAATCGTCTTGAGAATACCAAAAGTGTTCATCGTCCTTCTGTTCTTCGCGATCTGGAGGACTTGTTTGGTAGTCAGTGGTTACTCCATAGGATTTTATGTACTTCAAACTTGTGCGACCAATATTCCTTTGCTGGTCTCCTTATTTGATGTTGCGACACCCCTTTACACCTAAATTTCCCAGGCCACTAAGAACTCTCTAGGGTTGTGATTGAGCCTCCCATTCTATCAAGCATTCTTTAACTCGTAGAAATCAACACCGGTGAGTTTTTCCTGAGGACCCAGAACCTGGAAGTACAGTGTCTTGGTTACGCCATAAATGACATCCTGTTCCATTCCATAGCGCGACAGCAATGGGTCTTTGAAATAGAATGCTTTTCGCCCATCCGAAGATCTTCGTGTGATCAACCCCAACATGGCCGTCAGCCGTTTCTTAACCATGTCTCTTTGTCGTTTGGCACTATGAGAGAACCGAGCTAGATCGTCGAGAAGTTCGAGGCCACTCGCAATCAGGGACATAATCTTACTCGTAGTGCTGATCAGATCGTCGAATCTCCCTGCCACCGTAACAGTATCTAAGGCGGTAGTTGTCGCATACTCGATGCAAGCACTTGTGAGCCTGAATTCGAGAAATGAGTTTCTCATCGTCTCGTCGCTATTCAGATGCTGCACAAGCTCTAAGATGTCATAAGCATGGGACAAAGCGGCTTTCACGCGTGTTCCCACCTCCTTGGAATTCAGTGCAGCATGGTGCACGTAGCGATTCAAGTGAAGATTGATGCAATGGTACAATATCTCCATGTCGAAAAACATCATCCTGGTGTCCCCTTGTTCCCGCCATTTATGCAGGGACCCTCTCCACATGTGCAAGCGCTTGTGGATTTCGCTGTGAAAGGACTCCGAAGACTTCTGGTCCCCTGAAGCTGCACGGTATTTCTGTTGGTGAGTAAAACTTGCGACTTCATGAAACGTTGTTGCGAGATGTATCAGATGGACAAAGGACGGTGAATGTCCATGAGCGCCGCCACATATTGCATTGTCGCTCAGATATTCTGGGGGCGCAAGTGTTGTAGGATCGACATGGTCACCGAACCGAAAAGGAGTCTTAGTACCAGGTAGGTAAAGGTCATACTCCGACCACGCAACGGTCAAAAACGGGGTCGAGTAGCATCCATTCAAGCATTCGATGATAAAGGCAGCCCATGTCAGACTCCGTCGGCATTCAATTAGAGTGTAAGTATCGAGTTGAGCTTCCCATGATCCACTTTTCGATCTGGTCCAAATGCCAGCTTCCGTGTTGAATTGGAGGGCAAAGAGTGTGCGTATTGCCGAACCACAACAGTTCCATGCTGTGTTATACTCTCCTGTTGAGATAGACAGCAGTGTTGATAGAAGGTATGTCATAGCCAACTGGAATGTGGGTTCTTCACCACATAGCGTGAGCCCTTCTTGTACGATCGTCGAGAAGGCTGAGGTATAAGTACGGGAAGTCGAGGCATCGGCAAAAATGGACCCCAAGGCCAGGATCGAGTAGATCATCATCTTATCTGGCTGAGATTTATCCTTGCACATTTTCAACCATCGTACAAACATAGCGTTAGGTATCGCCGCAGAAGCTTGTCTGTCAACGAAGGTAAAGAACTTCCCTACGCAGTTTAGTGTCACCCGTGGGTTGATTTCATATGGATCCGCTTGCAAGGAGAAAGTGAGATTGGTGGACAATGCGGCCGTGAAGGGAGCTTGTGAGGTGGTTCCTGACTGCATCGGGGCTGCATCCTCGACGATTGCAATTTGAGATATGATTGGTGCAGAGGAATCCATCGTCTTCGTTCGTGGTGATTGCTCAAACGTTTCAATCAGTACAGCTTCACCGTTGGTCGGGATTTCGTTTCTTAGTCTCTTGATGGCCTTCATTGACGATATTGAAAACTCAGAGTCTGGAAAGTGCTCGTCGGCAACTTGCTTTGGCACATTCGGCTGGCCTGAAGACCCTGCTATGTCAGTTATCCCTATAAGGGTTGGAGGTTGGTCAGATGATTGGAGACTTGTGCTCGCCGGTTCAGGCCGCAATCTTTTACCGGTTAGCCAGACCGTCGCCAAACATTGGCAGCCTGTGGCTACTTACATCAACTCAGCATTACATTCGTAGCCACATTTTTGGCAGTGCACACACTTGGGCAAGCGCAGCTGACATTTCACCTAGGCATCTGGTCAGGATTAGTCTTGATATATCAGAGCCAATGTAGTCACCTTCTTCTCGTGACAAGGGTCGCATGCCTTTTCCAGCCGTTTCCACAGCTTCCCAGTCTTGGTGAAAGTTACTTTCTCATTCAAGCTGAAAATTTGGTTTGCTTCATGCCAAAGCTTGCGCTTGAGTGGAGATGGCGTGGCGTTGGAACTAGAGGGAGAACCATGGTCGAGATTGACATACGGAGAAGTGCAGTTGGGTGATTCTAGCGCTGGGAGCACGCAAGCACTAGATTTGGACGATTCCATACCTCTAAGCGCGAATTTGAGGGTATGATTGGCGTACTTTGAACCATATGAGTGAGCGGCTAAGTGCTTGTCCACAGAATGAAAAGCGTCGCTAGTGGAAGGGTTGATTGCAGTCCCTGCCACGACGCTGTAGTCGTGGTGAAAGCCTGGAAAAGGTTGTATCGTCGAGTTACTTGCAGCAAAAGCCGTTTGGCTCCTCTTCTCGTCTTGTCCTAATGGGATTCCAATCGTGGAAATGAGTTCTTGGAACGATGGCAGAGATGGCAAACCTGACTGCCATGAGTTTGGTCTTGTGGGAGGGCATCCTGCCCGAAGCTC